ATGAGTCCTTTAGGAACCCATATACTTCTAAAGATTTTACCATTTAAGGTTCGTTGAGGATTTCTATAATTGTAGTTTCTAAAATCTTTTCTAACAAAGTTGGATTTTGAATTTTCTCCTTTTTCAAAACGTTTTGTTCCAACTTTATCAAAAGAAGTTTTAAGATCATCAATTTTCTTTTGATGATCATCATTGACCTTTGAAAGTAAATTTTGCAAATCTAAATTTTTCTTTTAAAACTCTTATAGTTTGATTTGCAAATCTTTGATTTTACTTTCAAGATCATTGTTGGTTTTGGATATGAGTTTATTTTCATTTTTCAACTTTGAAACATCATTTTTATATTTTAAAAATAATTTCTCATAATCCGAAGCCAACCCATTATATTCCTCTAATAACTCATCATAAGATAAATCATCAAAATCAGATGAGTTAGAGGTTACCTTAGAATCTTCCCCAAATGCCATTAAGCACAAGTTTGCTACTTCTTGTTCTTCTTCATCGGAACCTTCTTCATCGCTCCATGTAGCCACATGAGCCTTGTGCTTATTCTTTGATTGACCATTCTTCTTCAATTGTGGGCAATCATATTTGACATGCCCTGGCTTTTTGCATTCATAGCAAATGATCGGGTCCTTCTCTTTTGGTTCATCTTTGAGGCCTTCATTTCGTTTGAATTTTCTTCCTCGGTAAGGTCTCATCATTTTTCTGAACCGTTTGGCAAACAATGCCATTTCCTCGTCATCATCATCATCATTAGAATCACTCTCATCTTTTGTGGATTTGAGAGCAACTCCAATTTTTTCTTCTTCTCCTTCTCCTTTGGTGTCTCTTCAACTTTATCAAGGTCCACCTCATCTTCAAGCATCATCTCATGAGTGAGGAGTGAACCGATAAGTTCTTCAAGAGTTAAGGACGATAGGTCCTTAGACTCGATGATTGCCGTCTTCTTTGATTGCCATGATTTTGGGAGGGAGTAGACTAACTTCCTCACAAGCTTTTCATTTGAGATGATCTCTCCATATGATTTGAGACCATTGACAATCGTTGAAAATCTATCCGTCATAGCTTTGATGTCTTCATTTGGTTTCATCCTGAAATTTTCATAGCTATGCGTTAGAATACTAATTTTTGATTTCTTTACCTCATCTGTACCTTCATGTGTGACTTGAAGTTTGTCCCATATTTCTTTGGTGGTTGTACACGATGAAACTCTTACGTATTCATCTGGTCCAAGAGCACAAAAAATAATATGGATGGCTTTGGAGTTGAGCTGGAACATTCTTGTCTCTCCTTCACTCCACAACCTTGGATGAGTGAGAGGTTTGATGTATCCTTCTTCTACAGCATTCCATGCTCCCATGTCACTTGCTTGAATGAAGTACATCATTCTATTCTTCCAATAGGCATAGTTAGCTCCATTGAAGAAATGAGGCTTGTTGACGGGCATCGAATCGAGACCGGAGTCGAAGTTTGAAGTGGAGGCCATTGATGACTTTGTAATCGATGTAACTCTTCCCGGATCGACTCAAGAGGCGATTAAACCTTCAAATGAGTTAGGCTCTGATGCCAATTGTTGAGTTAATCGAATGACGAAATTGGCCAAGAGGGGGGTGAATTGGCAATAAAAATTTTGTGGAAGCTTTTGCAGAAAATTGAAAGTAATTGCACAGCGATTTACAGTGGTTCGACTTTCTCAAACAAAGTCTACGTCCACTACCTTAGCTATCCACACTAAGGATTTTCCAACAAATTCACTAATTTGTTCTTTCTTTTGAGGCCAATGAGATAACCTTACAATTCCCTCAAGAGTATACCCCAACTCTTGAGAACACTCTTTTCTCAAAGAGAAGATTACAAATTTGCAAACTTACAAGAAAACCTCACAAGGTAAGATGTTTGCACAATTCTAGAACAAAGAAAAGAACACTCAAAGATGAATACAATTGAGCACAAAAAGTGTTCTTGAAAGCAAAATGAATATTGAATGAAAATAGGCTTGAAATGCTCAAACTTGAGGTTTGATTCTTTCTCTTTGATTATCTCTTGATTCTAGTTGCTTGATGTTTCTTGTTATTGATCAATGGCTTCTAAGCTTGCTTAAATACACCTTGGATCACTTCTGAACGTTGGGGATGATTAGAGAAGATATTATAGCCGTTTTAGTGTGAAAACATTTAATAAAACAGCTTGGAGCGTGGGGGGAATCGGTTCCCCCTCATAGGGAATCGGTTCCCTAAGTGTAAAATTCAAATATTTCGACCGTTGAACATGGGGGAATCGGTACCCCCTTGGGGGGGATCGGTTCCCTCCGAGCATACTGGAATTCTCGGAACAAAACTGTTTAGGGGGGAATCGGTTTTTCCTATGGGGGAATCGGTTCCCTCCGAGCATTCTGGAAATCTCGGAGCCAAACCATTCAGGGGGGAATCGGTTCCTCCTATGGGGGGGAATCGGTTCCCTATGAGCAATCTGGAATTTTTGGCTTTGAATTGGTTCGAAATACTTTGTAAAATTATTTTGAAATTGTTTTATGATTAAAACTTAATTTTACACTTAAGTAAGGATTAAAATGATTTTTGAAATATTTGGAGTAATGTTTTGATATTCGAATAGTTATATCGAATATACTTAGAAAATCATTTGGAAAATCTTAAAATCCATTTAACTTAATTTGTTATATCGAAATATCAAAATGTTTCAACAATATTAAAATTAAAATCAAATATAATATAAAATTAAATATAAAACCTATTTAAAGAGGTTAGAAGACGTCTGCAGACATAAGTTCTGGTCTGCGCCGCGCAGACCACGCGCAGACGTTAGAAGAGCTTCTGTCTTCTAAAAAATAAACGGTCTGCGAAGCTCAATGTCTGCGCGTAGTCTACGCGACGCAGACATAAGAGCTTTGCATACCTTACACAGTAAAAACAAACACCACCTAAAGGTTACCACTTCAATCCTAACAGGAACGCGCGACTGATTGAGACAGAAATGAACAAAAATCTCTGCTACCAACCGTGTTGACCGATCCATTAACTCAGTTGAACTGAGTCATCTCACAATCTACAAAAACCTTCTTCTATAAAAAGCCTTGCTTTAGAGTCATTCGAGTTTAACTGAGCCATTTCACAATCTACAACCAAAAAGGCTTGAGCCGATGCTGATTAGTGAAAGTTTAGATGATGAGCTTCGATGCATGGAGGCTATCGTCGAAGAGCTTGTGTGGATGATTAATGAATCAGAGGATCCTACACAGCAAGCATGCCGTCGAATCGATTCGTTCATTGGCTGAAATCCGTGATGGAAGACGAAACCTATGCAGAATTAATAGTATTAAATTGTGGTTGCGGCTGCGGCGTTGAGGTTGCAGGTGTTACGAATGTAATAACATTATATTTTTTCAAAAAATAACTATGTTTTATATTGCAGATGTAGTTTACGGTGTCGCGATGATTTTGAAAAAACGTTGTAATACCTTTACACTGCATTACAACAGCAATTTAATACTAATACTGCTTTGGTGGAATCACAGCTCGGCAATGTGCAACAAAGGAGCAGAATGGACTGGTACTTAATTACGCGCTTCCTCGCCATGAAACCATATTACAGCGAGCGAACAAGCCAGGGTCGCGACTAAGATTATAATCGAGTTGAGTCAAGCTCCCGCTCAATATTTGCTGCTTGAAACTGGATCGAATTAAGCTCGTTCGAATAGGTTTTTTAAACTTTAATTCGGCTTGAAAAAAGATCGATCTATTCAAACTCGACTCAATATGACAAACAATATGAAGCAACTCTAGATTGTAATTTAAACATATTATATTATCTTTCTGTATGATATTTTGTGACTTTTAATTGATTCGAATTTGACTCGATATAATTATAGTTTTGTTGTATATGTGACACAAATGAATAATAAATTTTATTGCATATTTGATCATGTGATCTGAAGCTTCCTATTTTATTCATTTCGGACATAAGAAGTTTTAAATGCATGATAATGAATTATCTAAATCTTTCTTTTATTGGAATGGCCGAGCCTTTCTTGCTCATCATGCATTATTTTCTAGGGTAAATTATACTAGTGACTATTTAATTATAGTAAAAAATTTAATTTAAATATTGATCTTTTAATTTTTTTCAATTTGATCATTTAACTTTTTAGATGATGTCAATCAAAATATTTGTACTCAACATTTGACATAAGATTTGACTACACATAACATGATTTTTATAACTACATATTTAATCCTCATTACTTAAAATTTGACAAAGGAGCTGACTCATCACCATCTGATTAGAAGATTAAATGTATTTTGTTAAATTAAAATTAAGAATAAATTGATAGAATGCATAAGTAATAAAGAGAAAATGTATAATTGTATTAGTTTTGTCAATTAGCACATCAACTCCTCCATTAAATATTAACAACATGTAACTTGATTGACATTATTTAAATAGTTAAGTGGCCTAATTAAAAAAATTGAAAGATCGATGATCAAATTAAAATTTCTCTTTAGTTAAGTGGTCATATGTGTAATTTATCGTATTTTCATGAAAACGACTTAATACAAAAATTAACCCAAAACTATATTTTCTTCCAAATCAATTTAATAATTTCATGAAAGTGTTAATGACTTGATAAATATTGATTTGAAGTTGACTAATTTAAGAGGTAAATTACCTCATAAAATTATTTTCAAGATGAAACTAAACATAATTATTTCTTAAATTACATTGGCGCATACATACATATATATATATATATAGTTAGGATCTATTTACACCTAGTGTAAAACTCTTGCTTTATTCTTTCATGTACTAGGGAAGTCAAAAGTTAAGTTATATATACATATAATAAACACTTTAATTTGTGAGATGTTATTTGATTTTATCTTAATCAAAAAGCTTAATACAAAAATTAATCCAAAACTATATTTTTTCCAAAAAAAAATTAATTAAATTATTTTTATTTATAAATATGTGATACATTATTATTGAATATAGTTAATTTTAAAATAAAATGATAGTTTAAGTATAGTTTATGATAAAAATAAGTTAAATACCTTTGTGGGGGAAAACAATAGCGTAGGGACTAATATTTGAATTAAGCCTTGTTAAAACACAGTTGAGAAGATGCATAGGGTTTTGAAGATTTCTTCGATATCCAATTTCCCACCAGAGGAACGATGGGCTTCTTCTTCAACAACTTCATTTTCCTTTTCCCTTCGAAAAGACATTTAATTTCACAAACGGCCATCTGATTTCCCATTCTTTTCATTAGCTCAAAACCCAGAGTGGTCTTCCTAAGTGTCGATGTCGCCGGCTGCGGCGGCGTCCTTTTAGCCGCTGCAGCCGCCTCCTCAACCTGCGCCAGCTTAGACATGCTCCTATGAAGTTCAGCATTAAGCGAAGCCAACGCAATCTCCGTCTCGGTTTTTCTCTCCTTCAGCAGCCTCAACTCCGCCTTCGTTTCCTTAAGCTCCGCTTCGAGTTTCTTCAACATATCGACAACCCCTTGCTGGTCACTCTCCCGATCATCTTCTTTAACGGATCGAAATGGACGAGAAGTGTCGACGTTGGAGCGATCACCTTCGAGTTTGAGTGGCTTTGAAGGGGGAGTTGGGGCTTGGGTTTCCATGGTGGGAGAGCTTAGCTAGAGATGAATGAAATTCATAGGTTTTTTATGTATGAAACTATGGAGAAAGATGGGGAGAGAAGATTGGATAATGAGTTGGTTTTCGAAATTTCTTTGCTTTTACTGCAGAAGAATAGAAGAGACCGAGAGGTAGAAGAAAGGTAATGGAGAAATGGATATACTAGGGGTATTAAAATAACAAAAAAATAATTTAGGTACTAAAATGAAAAAAATATATATACATATTTTATGAAGCAATTTAACGCAATCTTTATGTAGGAAAAACTTGCATTGATGACAACTATACGGAGTTGAGTTAGGCCTCATACACCCAGCAAACTGGCTATTATTATCTTTGATCTCCCCGTCTTAAATTGTGATCATGGTATTCATGTTTGGTCTCGGTTGCTATCATATGCTCTTCAATTCAGTAACCAAATTCAAGGATGCATGCTGTGTTTCCTTGTAGCTCTCATCATTGTCTTCCAACACAGTTGTTCCATCGCAAATTGCTTCATTGGTTGCACAACATACATGAGCAATATAATTGCAATTGGATGCAGAACAATAGTAACTATCATACCTTGTATCCACATGTTCATAACAAATTCTGCAAATCCAGTCTCCGACTTCATTTTGTGGAAGGGAATATGAATGAGAAATCCTATATATGAGGCTGTCGTGTTATCATGATACTCCGAGGCATTGAAATGCACTGCTTGTGTACAACAAGATTACACTTAGTAGGGAGATACGGCTTGTGATTACCAGAGAGGCCACAAAAATCACAAATCAATGACATTTGTCTCCCACAATTTAACCTTTAAGTTGTCTCCCACAAAACAATCTGAAACAAAGAAGTCACTGATTAAAGATGAAAAGGTTAAGCTTTTACCGGCCAAGGCATCCCATACAAACAAAGTCGTCGACAAACCAAAGCTAAATAAAAAAAGAAACAGACAATAACCGACACCACCGCCATTGTTTTCAGTGAGCATATATAATGGTGTCTCCGTATTAGAGTATTATTTAACAGAGGTTGTTATAACTGATGGTTAATCTGTTATAACTGATGTCTATTCAGTTGGACTAATCTGTTGGGCTAGTTGGTATAATAAATAGTGGGCCTGTCCACTATGCAAATATACGTATGCTTTGTAATTCTCCTAAACACTGTATTGTTCTGATTTTCTGAAATAACATCAAGCTCAGTCTTCGTTCTCACTTCTCTTCTTCTTCACACATTCACTATCAGTTTTCCATAGCTAGATTGTTAGTAGCTACTCTATAAATTTCCTGTTATGGTATCATTCGCCTAAACTTCTTGCGGCCGTTTGTCTTATGATTCTGCGCAGAGTTCCTGATTTTTGTGCTTTCGTTTGCCCTAATTTTTCAAGTTGGTGCTAAATCCCTAATGTTGCGCTCCTAATCCTTGTCGAAGTGAAGTGCCTCCTTTGCTTGGCCTCAGCACAGTTCGTTGATCTCTGCACTCCGGTTGATTGTCAGTTTGGTCATTCGATTTCAGGCTGCGTCTTCACGTCATGTTTCTCTACTACTCCTTGTTTGGCTCTTCGATCTTCAAATCTGGTGAGATCGCTCCTTTACTTTTCTCGATTGTTCTGGCATACTGATCTTCAATTTACAGTTACTGCTCTCTATTGATCTGACATTCTGCTCTTCGATTTGTGTTTACTGTTCTCGGTTGATCTGGCATATTGCTTCCTTGCTGTTCATGTACTGTTTTGCTGCTTATATTTCGTTCTGATTGAAAGCTTGTGTGCTTTATCTTCTGCCTGCTTGTTTCCTTTATGGAAAATACTGCTGATGGCATCACTCTTAACTCTGTTAGCTCTGCTTATGTTGTCTCCTCTATACTATTTTCTACTAAGAAAATCAATGTGACCTTAGATGATCAAAACTACCTGTTATGGCATCAACAAGTATTCCTTACTATTAAAACTCATAGGCTTCAAAAATACATAGACTCTAACATCTCTTGGCCTACACAGTATGTAACTAGAGATGGTGTTATTAGTCTCAATCCTGAGTATGAACTTTATGAAGAGTAAGATGGAGCGCTTGCTTCCTGGTTGTTCTCCACTGTTAGGGAGGAAGTCCTACCACATCTCATAGGTCTTAATACTGCTGCTGAGATCTGGAATACTCTGCATAAGTTATATAGTGGCAAAACTACCTCTAAATTGATGTCATATAGGAGAATGCTTCATTCATATAGAAAGGGAGATCTGGGTATGCGAGATTATTTGATGAAAATTAAATATATATGTGACAATTTAGCTAGCTGTGATGAGATAATATCAGAATATGAACACATCACTGCTATATTGAATGGTCTGCCACCTGAGTTTGAGTCAGTTATCACTGTTATAACTGCTACCCCCACTCCTCCAGATCTAAGGTATGTCAGCACCATATTACTGGATACTGACATTAGACAATCTCAGTCCTTTAACCATGTCATAACTTGTGCTTATGTTGCTACTCAAGCTACAAGTGATCAAGTGACCTCCAATAATACTTCACATTCTGAATATCAGTATAAGGGTGAACTTGTTGATAATACTGGTCAAAATTTCAATAACAGTAACACCAGTAATAGGGGCAGAGGTCGAGAACGGTTTTCATCCTCTAGACCACAGTGTCAATTGTGTGGTCAGATGGGACATCTTGTTGAAAGATGCTATTATAGATTTGATATGAACTACAAAAATGAATCCTCTCGACCTACACAAAACACTAATACTAAAGGCTATTCCAATATTCAAGCCAATGTCAGCTCGTATGGTCCCAACAATGACAATTTCAACCCTTATAATCAAGTGTATTATACACGTTCTGCACCTCAAATTCCTCAGTTTTCTGCACCTCAATTTTATTCACCTCAAATTCCTCAATTTTTTGCACCTCAAATTACTCAATTTTCTGCACCTCAAATTACTCAATTTTCTGCACCTCAAATTTCTTAATTTTCTGCAGCCTCTCAAGTTCCTCAAGTTCTGCTTTTCGACCACATAATTATCATGTTAATATTCAACATCAAATCTGTTCGAATACCCACAATATGTCTTCATTCCCTACTGGAAATCCAAATAAGTTCACTGCTATTACTCAACCACAAATCACATCTCAAGCCTATATAGCTACATCTGATACACTAGATGATAATGCTTGGTATCCAGATTCTGGAACAACTCATCACATAACAAAAGACTTGAATAATCTGCAGATTAAAGACACTCATCCTGGAACAGGTAGTGTAATTGTAGGCAATGGTAACTCACTTCCAATACAGTGTACTAGTCAGTCACATTTCTGTGTTAATTTTAATAAGTTTCACTTAAATGAGCTACTATATGTTCCTAACATTACTAAAAATTTGATGTCTGTTTCCAAATTCACTTAGGACAATCAGGTTCTGCTTGAGTTTTATCTTAATTTCTGTCAAGTTCGTGACCTGCAATCTCGGAAAGTGTTGTTAAAAGTAAGTCAAGATGGAGGGTTGTACAAACTCAATATTGCTATGAATAATACTGATAATACTTGCTGGTGATAAATTACATATTAATAATGCTGATAATAATTATTTGTCTTCAATAAGCTGTTACATTGTGAATACTAGGGTGTCTGTAGATGTGTGGCATAAAAGACTTGGCCACCCTTCTAAAGAAGTATTATTTTCTGTATTAAAACATTACAATGTAACTCTTTCTAATTGAATAAAAAACATATATTGTGCAAAGCATGTCAGCTTGCTAAATCACACAAGCTGCCCTTTTATAACTCACTTACTGTGTATGAACAACCATTAGAACTTATAATATCAGATGTGTGGGGTCGTATTCATGTGTATTCTAATGGGTTTAGGTTTTATGTTGCCTTTACTGATGCTCACAGTAGGTATACTTGGATTTATTTCTTGAAACAAAAATCTAAAGTTAAATATGTTTTTCTTCAGTTTCATAGACAGATGGAAAGGCAATTTGGTGTCAAACTCAAGGTTTTTCAATCAGATGGAGGAGGTGAGTTTAGTGCTCTTCGAACTTACATTAAAGAACAAGGTATAGTACATAGGTTATCTTATCCTCATACTTCTGAACAAAATGGTTTAGAGGAAAGGAAGCATAGGCAGATAGTTGAGGTAGGTCTCTCTATGCTAGCTCAGGCTTCTATGCCTTTAAGTTTTTGGAATAATGCTTTCGCTAGTGTTGTTTTTCTTATTAATGGGTTACCTACACGTGTGTTGTCTGGTCTGTCACCATATGAGAAAAATTTTCATAAAGCACCAGATTATAGCTTTTTTAGAATTTTTGGTTGCACATGTTATCCTTTTTAAGACCCTATAATCAGCACAAATTTCAGTTTCGTTCTTCTGCATGTGTCTTCTTGGGACATTCACCTGTTCACAAGGGATATAAGTGTTTAGACTCTAGTGGTTGTGTCTATGTGTCAAGACATGTTCGATTTGAAGAAAATGAATTTCCTTATCAATAACACCAAAGTTTTCCCACTGTTTCTGGTCAATCAGTATTAAACAGTCGAAAGCACTCAAGTGTCAACAATATTTCTCAAAATAACTTATTTTATCATTCCTTTCTTTCCATCCCTACTAGCACACACAATTACAAATCTGTCCTACCATCTACTACACCATTAACATCATCACATTCACCATATGTATCATCTTCAACACAATAACACATCACATCTCCATTTCTTCCTCCAAATTCATCTCATTCAAATTCATCATCTTCTACACCATCATCATCTTCACCACATGTATCATCTTCATCACAACAATTCATCTCCTCCCCATCTCATCCATGTACCTCAGAATCAATTGAAACTACTACTTCATCTCCATCACCATCTCCACCTCCATCCTTACCACCTCCAACTTCACCATCACCACCATCATCTCCACCTCGACTAGTTCAGAATGCTCATCCTATGGTCACCCGTGGTAAAGCTGGCATTTTTAAACCTAAAGTGTTACTTGCTGAGACAAGTCCTCAAGAGCCAGCAAATGTCTATGAAGCATTATAGCATCCTGCTTGGTGTGAGGCTGTTCAAAGTGAATATACTGCTCTTATGAAGAATGGTACGTCGGAGTTAAAGCCTCTGCCTCCAGCACGCAAAGT